AAGCACAGCCTCATCAGACTTAGAGGAATAATACATCCCAATATTTTGCAGGTGAAAAAGAGTCATTCCAGTGTCATTCATCATCAGACTTTCCTGCTTGCTTTCTCTCTCTGTCTCTGCTATTCTTTTGCTGTGTGAGTTTGGAAAGCGGCTCAACTCCTTCATTATTCCTAAAGCCTGTTGGGTTTTGTGACTTGAAAGTGCTTTAGAAATGTGAAGTGGGATCTCTGCTGCAACAACTAGACATGCCTTCACTGCCATTAAACTTGATGTCAAGTAGTGTCTAAGGATCCTTAAGATGGAAAGGGCTTGCTATTACCCTGGCTTAATGTTTATGCTTCAGTGATCACTCATGATGCCAGCATGTTTCCAGTGTCTCAGGTGTGATTACAGCTGAGGTGGGCAGCTGCCTGCTCCAAGACTGTTGCCAGCACAGTGAACGCTTGACCTACTCTGAAGAGCTGGAAACAGTCCGTTTCGATAGGCTTCATGTTGCAGCCCACGAGACAGGGAGCTGCAGAAGCAGCTGCACTCATGCTTTAATATTCTTTTGGGGCCTGTTTCTCAGCAAGACAGAGACCCCTTGGCATTGCCAGACAAGCTGTTTTTTCTAGAAATGAAGCAAGTTCTCCAACAGAAGGAGATTTTCTTGCCCTTCAGTGCAGGCATGGAAATCTGTGGCTGTGAGGCTCCAGAAAGCAGCCCTTCCTACTGCTGCCTCCCCTCAGATCAAGACCTGACAGACAACATGGCTTAATTAATTTCTTGTCAAATGCAGAACTGCCCTACCCATACTCCTGCTGGTTTTACGGTAATATATAATGTCATACCATATTTCCAGGCCTTTTTATAAATCATGTAAATAATTCCAGAAAAAGGACACATACAAAAGGCACAAACTCCTAGTGACACATAGAAGAGAGCCTTCTTTTTCTGAGAGCAAGGAGCCCATGAAGTCAGCTGCTGCAGGGCAGGGACAGAGGGTAAAGAGGAGGGTAGAAGATATGGAGAAAGGATGGCTTGAGCCATTTGGGAGCTAGTGGGATTTTGGTCATGGTTTTCTTTGAAAACATAGCCTACAATACATTGCCAGCCCTGACTACTGCATGTCTTTACTGGCAGAACAGCATAGGGGATGAGTGGGTGCAGCTGGGACTCTCCAAAGTAATTGCAAGTCTTCAAACAACTTTCTTCTTCCTTGTATTTTTTTTCACAAGTAGAAGAGTAGGATTCCTTGGGGCTCATAGTGAGAAGATTATAAAAGTGAGGCTGAAGGCCTTTAGCTCCAGCAGATTGTTAATAGTCTGTTAAAAACTTCACTGCAAAGTCAGCAGTGCTGCTGCTCATAGAGCACAGTCTGCAAAGATACAGGGTGTTTACCCAAATGACTCACCAGGTGCCTCAAAGGCAAGCAAGGACTCTCCTTTAGACAGAATGCAAAAGTAGAAGAGTAGGAGGGAGGAGGTACAATACAATCACCTGGAAACTGTTCACACACTGCACATCGGTGTTTTGGTACAGGCTTTTACTGAAAAATGAGGAGTATTCTAGGAGGGCAGATGATACTGACTCACCTGCTGCAGATAAGAGTGGAAGGCATTATCTCGTAATGGATAACAAGTACCGTCTGATGAATAATCTTATTTAATGAATAATCTAAATTAATTCCTCCAAGTAACTGAAAACCTTTATTTTCCTCTTCAGTCGTGAGGAATATGTATTTTCCTGGATCTTTAATTTAATTTCTTCTTTGAATGCAATTTGAAAAGTGGAATACAGCACTATGTGTAGCAAGGTGGAGATCACCTTGCCCTGCTTCTGGGGAACTAGATGTTGTCCTAGTGATATCCATGGGAGCAGCAAACATTTGGGGGTTTGGGTATATTATGTGTTGCTGTACCCCACTGTCTCTTTCTAAACTCCATCTCCAAGTGAAGAAGAAAGTGGGAGATACTGTCTTTTACGTTAAATATTAACTTACCTCAGCAAATCCCGGAGATACTGATATTATTATGGATAGCTGCCAGATCCCCACCCAGCAGCTCTTACTACCCTTCCTTAGCAGGATGGGGAAGAAAATGAGGTGAAAAAGCTCATGGCTAGAGAGAAAAACAAGGAAATCCTTTACCAGCTGCTGTCACAGCCAGAACATACTCAACTTGGTGAAAATTATTTATTTCCAATTAAAATAGAGTTGAATGGTGAGAAACAGAGGAAAAACCCAAACAACTAAACCAGCTTCCCATCCACCCCTTCTTCCCAGGTTCAACTTCACTTCTTTCCCAGCTCTTCCACCTCCTCCATTGAGCAATGCAGGGGACATGGGGAAGTGCAGTTGCAGTCAGTTCATAATAGATCCTCTTCAACACTTTTCTTCCTTCTCACACTATTCCCTGCTCCCGGTCTTTACCACAGGCTGCAGTCTGTCCTTCATGGGGTCCTCTCCAGAGGCCATAGCTTCTGCTAGGAGCCTGCTCCTGAGAGGGCTTTCCACAGGCTGCAGCTTCCTTCAGGACATGTCCGCTTGCTCTCATGTGGTGTCCTCCATGGGCTGCAGTGTGAATATCTGCTCCACCGTTGTCCTCTCCACAAGCTGCAGGGAAATACCTGCTTTACCACAGTCTTCCCTGGGGACTGCAGGAGCACCTCCTTCCCCCTCCTTTCTCTGACCCTGGCGCTTGCAGGGGTGCTTCTCACACTTCATTGCTCACTCCTCACTGCAGGGCAGCTCTGCCCTGAGGCAGTGTTTTCTCCCGATGCAGGACTCCCCTGCAGCCCTCGACACCTTGCCACGCACACCCATACAGCTATGCACCTTGTCCCCTCGAGTCCATTTTTTACTGAAAGATCAAAAGCTGAATGGCCTTTTTTCTTCGTTTTTGAAGGGGTTTGTCCAGCCGCAGCATGGGGTGCATGACCAGCTCTCCAGGCGTTTCTGATTCAGGAAACTTGATGAGGCCGTGTTTGTCAGCTTTACACACACACACACACACACACTCATTTCTCTATAAGCAGACCTCTTATCCTGTGTTTCAGACAGCAAAAGTGTTCGTAGCTGGCAGCACTTCATCTTCAATACCTAGAAAAGGTTTTTATCTTCTTTTTTTAATAAGAGGTTATGTAACTCCCCTGGACACCTTGTTCTTCAACGCAGAAATTGCTTCCATTTAGTCAGATTTGTGAGTTGAAACGTTCTCCGTGTAATAGATTTCACAATAGAGAATAAAGGGTTTCCTTTAAAGAGCACTTGAATGGCATTTAACTGTGAAAAATAGGAATAATTTGCTCATCAAGATTAGTGCCTGCAATTTAAACTTCTAAGCTGAGGAAAGAAAAGAATTTTCTACAAACAGTGCTACCCAAACCAACACGTATCTGAGACCACTTCAGGAGTAACTTCTGGAGTACAATGAAGACAGGCTGAGGTGAACACACATGCTGTAACTTCTCCCTGGCACCTGGTAGAGGTGTCCTGTACCACTGCAGAGGAGACTGGGTCAGGCGGGGCTGGATTTTCTGCTGATGTGACTTTACTGAAGTCAGCAGGGTTTTGTCAGCAGATAATTCAGAACATAATCTTAAATGTTTGTAACACAGGTGAAAAAAAAATAAATCTGTATACTTTGGATATAAAACAATGGGGAGTTGTTACATGCAGAGCAGTGTAAATGTGAGTAATGCTTCAGGTTTTCCTGTTGCTGTGTAGAGTACAGTACACTCTTTTGTTTAAATTTTTAATGTCACTTGACAAAGGTCAAATGTGTTTGTAGAAGTCCATGTATACCGCAGATACGTTCTTTAAATTAAAACTTATATGCAAGCAGCCTTAAATACACAGCAAAACTTGAACTGTTTTGTCAGAGCCAAAAGGTACATTCTTCTTTTATCAGAAAAGAGGATTTTCTTTTCCAACTTACACTTTTTTCTAATGGATTTTCGGTAAGAAAGGCAAAATAAAATCTCTGCTTTACTTGCGCACATTTAAGAAGCCTACCTCTTAAAATACTGAAGACTTGGACAAGCCAATTATTAAAATAATGTTATCATTTTCCTGCAGGCAATACCTAAATAGTATTGGATTGTATCTTTTTAAAATAATGGGAATAAAAATTATAGCCTTTTAAAATAAAATCCTATGTATTTCTTGACACTATCTCCACTCATTTTTTTTCAAACGAAATATTCATCCTTCTGCAAATGTTCAAGTCCAGACGCTATAATCTTTTGCTCCTCTTAGGCTTCCTACTCGATAGATAAAGAAGACAGTCCATCTTTGCCTTTTTCCAACGCTAAAAAAAAAAGATTGGTTTCTTTATATCTACAAGGAGCCTACATGTCATTATTCCCCCATAGCAAATGCAGGAGAAAACCAAACCCATTAGAGGTTTTGAAAGAAGTCAATATAAACTGGAAACCTTGGCAACCTGAGGTTCATTATGAGACTATGATTAAAGTGGATGTGAGAGTTAAGGCAGATGTTTTGTTTGTTTGTTTTTCATTTTATTATTCGAATGTCTGAGTGTTGTCTGAGGGCTGTTTGTGGGAAATCCCTTCTGGGTAGGAGAATTTGGTTCCTTGCACCACTGAGCCAGTCTATTGCCCATTACTTAACAACCGGCAACTTCCAAGTGTTAGGGTAACTGTGTAGGGCGACTCCTGTAGCAGCTGCAAAGCCAAAACAACTCGTCCACCCAGATACTTGAAATTCCTTGGTTTCCTTATGAGCCTTGCAGCCAGATACCTTTATGGAGCTAGAGCAAAAAAGCAGGTATTAAGCTTCTGCTAGAGACAGACTCCAACAGCTGCCAAGACTCAATGTTTAAGTTGCTAGGAACTCATTATTTCTACATAACCATGCAGAAAGTTCATGTAACTCAGCCCAAGCCACAAAGAGAATATGGCTTTGTAGATTATAATTGCTGATACAAGCTCAGTTGCATGCCACAGTTCACATACATTTTTTATGAATTTATAATTAGAGCAATTTTGGTTTCCTGCAGGTTCCATCTTTGGAAATGAAGAGCAAACCACTCCTAAGGCACCTGCACCTTCTAAAGATGTTCCCAAGGGGAGCAGCAAGAGCACAGCACAGGTATCGAGCAACACAGCCACTCCACGCAGGAGCTTACTTCCAGCACCAAAAACTGCCACAGCACCTGCTGGTAAGTGCTTCAAACTTGAAACACAACCTGCCAAGAAATGCAGAAAACTCATTATGATGTTGTTTTACTGCTTACTCGCTTAAATGTTACTCTTGGGCACATTGCCCATGTGCTGATTTAGGCTCCCTTTGCTGTGTTAGCTTTCAAACACATTCAACAACACAGCTATAATCTCATTTTGTGAACTGTCTGGAGGTGAAGGCATTTAGTGTCCCTAACTACACGTGCCAGAGATTTAGTGTATATATTACTGGTTCTCACCAAACAGCTTTTGAAAACATTGCAGTGCTTTAGAGACCAAAACATTCCATTGAGCAGATGATTCATTGCTAGGTATGCTTGCAAAGATGGGAATACTGTGCCCTAAATCTAAGCTATTTGTGGTGTTTTCACTCAGAGAGGGAAAAGGAGACAAATAAATGAAAAAAAATATACTCCAGGTCTTGTTTCCAAATTGTTTCCTTGCCAAAGCCCTCCTTCAGCTCAATCCAGCTATGTCTCAGATCAGCCGGCAATAATTCATAGCATCTCACACAAGAAAGTTTACAGTTTTCTGCCAAATGCAGGATTTTCTGTTGAAATACCTGTGCATCTCTCCACTATCTCCTGCTCACACTTGTTTCAAGCTGCCCCTTCCATAGCCTGGCACTTGGACATGGTATATGAACTCAAGCTTGCCTTGTCAATGATGTAGGGGTGTATCTTCTTGGGTAGGACTCACCATTTTAGAGAGAGTAAAGAGCAGTTCATGTTACCTGCCCTTGAGGGCTGCTAACACTGGCCCATCTGCCTGCCCATTCAGTGGGGAGAGATGAGAGTGCCTGTGACACTGAACATCTATCACACACTCAGCACTGGCAATGTAAAGACTTTAGTTTGGGTGTAATGGATGAGTTAAGGCTGTTCAATCATTGCGACTTGTAAGAAAGGTCAATATGATTAGTGGTCATAATGAGAAGTTTAAAAGCATGGCTGTAGATAAACTCTTGCCTGGTAGCAGATGTCGTGTCCTCACCCCAGCTGGCTTCAAGCACTTTCCTTACAACTAGTGGACAGTGTTCTCTACCCTGTTCTAGCTCCTGTCTGTTCCATTGCCTTTCTGTCTAATATGGACCCAGGCTTATCTTTCTGCACTGGGGTGGCCCCTGGATGTCCATCAGCCAAGATCTCAGAGTTCCCTTAGGGTCCTCATGAAAAGCATGGAAGTTCTTCAGGGCCCAAGAAGTATGCTGTAACCACAGCAAGCTCTCGCAGACTACAGTCTCTATGTGCCTCCGTGTTCATTCCTGCTTCCTTATGCCTCACGAGATTCTTCAAGCCCCTCAAGGGGAAGGAACATTAGCAATAATATAAAAACAACAGTAATTTTTAAAAACATAATTAGAGGAGCTTACTGGAGAGACGCCTATGCCTGAACTGGTCATTGAACTCTTGATGTGGCTGCCAAAGTCAATATTGCATCTTTCCATGTGGAGGGGAAGGAATAATGTGGTTTCAAAATTTATATTCCTAGAAAGCACTTCATAGATCACTAAGAAAATGGGGTGCATGAGGTGTAACGTATTTCAGTGAGTGAAACATACTCCACTGTGTTTGCGTAACAGTGGTGAAATGTGAATTTGACTTAAACAGTACCTGGATTTGTTCCACAAGTGGTCTGACACAAAGTAATTATTCAAAGCCAGCATGTTTTTCAGAGAGCTTTTCTATTGCTGCTAGTAAGCTGGAACCTTGGAGCTGTGAGAACCTGAATGTGCCTGAATCTTTCTTCACTCCTGCAGTTTTCATGGCTTTACATATTTTCTCATAGAAACAACCTCTAGTTCCACTTTCATGAATTTTTCCTTGCTTTTCCACTGCCTCATTGTTTCCCATTTCTATTGTCCCCTCTCTCCTAAGATTCTCCTTTAGGATTTTTAAATGCTTTTCTACTTCTGTCCCTAAAATACTGTAGCTTCATGTCTGCCTTTTTAGAGGGAACATTATGCAGAAAGACAAATCAGACTTTCTGATTCAGTGGTTTTTTGTTTATAAAGACAGTTTGGATAGGCCTCTTCATGGTCTTCAGTAAAGAGATGCGTATGCCTGTACAGAATAGTAAGGATTTAAAAAAGAGAGTGCTTCAGTAAGAGTACAGAAATTCCATCAAGTTCAGATTAGATCTAACATTTAGATTTCAAAATAAAGAATTTTGCATAAGTCACCATTCTTATCCAGTCTGGCTCTTATTCATCAGAGTGTTTCATCTCTGTGTATGTCCTACTGGCTTTGATAACATACACTGAAAATGAAACAGGGAAGGAAAAAAATAGTACAAAATAAGAGACAAAGACTTTATGCATTACTAGTTCTGGACACCCAGTTTCAAGATAGTTTAACCTGGTGTGGTGGGATGACCTTGGCTGGACACCAGGTGCACTCCAAGCTTCTCTATCACTAATCAGCTGGACAGGGGGAGAAAAACCAGCAAGGCTGGCTGGTTGCTATAAGTACAGTGTTGTTTGTCTCATATTCTCACTCTCTCCCAGCTGCTGCTGCACAGCAGTTTTCCCCCTTAAGTATGTCATCCCAGAGGTCCTACCAGCATCACTGATGGGCTCAACCTTGGCCAGCTGTCTTTGGAGCTGGCTGGCATTGGCTCTCTCAGACATGGGGGAAGCTTTCAGCAGCTTCTCACACAAGCCACCACAGTAGCCCCTGCTACCTAAACCTTGCCACACAAACCAAACACACCTGGTTAACTTACCATATGCAGAAAAGCAGTTACTGCTATAATCAGTGCCTTAGAGAATCTGGCAGGGAAGATGAAGCTGACACTGTTCTCCTTATGTAGTACAGCTAAGTGAAAGACAAGGGGGGAGGAGGATGTGTTTTTTTGTCCAACACAGACAGGGGTGAGTGTCTCTTACTGTCAGAAAACTGTTTACTTCTATCATCTGTACTCACTCTGTGAAACAGACCCTATCTATGAACAGAAAATACTGATCAAAGGTGATGCTTTTTTGTTTGTTTCTTTCTTTTTCATTTTTTTTTTCCCTTTCCTTTTGAGCTTCCTTTTTTCTCTTCTGGTCCCTAGCTAAGTTATGCCATTTCAGGCTACAGCACTATTTGATTAGTATCAAATTTGCCCCTAGACATCTCCAGCAAAAGCCTTTTTTTCCCCCAGTTAGTAGCATTGGCATGATAAGCTTCAAAGGGCTATTTTAAGTTTCTGCAGAGGAGCAACTCTGGCCGCTGGGCTTCTTTTGTCACAGGCAAGAAGATCTGGGTCTTTTACTACTTGTGCAGCCTCACAGGAACGAGTCCTTGCCGTGGAGATTTCCATTTTGGAGCACTCAAATGAGCTGGAACCATGGTGGTTGATACGCAATCATGCTAATGTGGAGCACAAGATCTATCATAGGCAAGACTAATCAAATGGTTCAGGCTGTCACCTCTGATTTTCCACATGCTCCAAATCTCAGACACACACAGAAGAGCAGAAATCACAACTTGATGTAAAACAATACTGATCAGGCAGTAGGCATCCAGAAAGTGTTTGCCATTACATCAGGGCATAAGTACTGAAGGGAAAAATAATTACTGAGGCTGGCAGAAAGCTAAAGTGAACTTTTAATTTGGAATTTTAATCTAGGAAATTATTTAGTTTTTTAAATAAAAGACTAATTTTTGCTGGATTTTACTCCTCTGGGGACAAAGCTGAACAATAAAAGGCCATAAAGAATTGTGAGAAGTTCTCCAACTTTCTTCCTGTTAAATAACCTTAATTTGCTCATTGTCCTGAGGTTGTCAAGAGATGTTTTCTGTTTCATCACTTAGTTTCAGTGTAGTTTACTTCAGAGCATTTGTTATTGTCTTTGTATAACCCTCCAGGAACCATGTCTACTTCTGTGGGTGCACACAAAGGAAAGCTCTTTGCCCATGCTTCAAGTTTGCCAAAAGTGAGCTTGTAGGTGAGGAGCTGTAATGTGCAGTTAATGTCATGCAGTGTCTGAGTTTATAGGCCTGTTGGAGACAAAGCGGTATAGCTTCTGAATTGGATTTTCTTCCCGCTAGGCTGTAGAGTGCTGTGTTCAGTCCTTGTCTCTGTGGGTGCATGGGTACACAGGTATGCCTGATGCAGGATGTGCTGTGTTCAGGCTTACACTGGAGAGCAGTCAGATTTGTTCTTCTCATTGCAAGGCTGTTAGTCTGACTCTGCTCATGTTTCCTAATCTTTGCCACAGCCAAGTGCAAAACAGGAGTCAGGTTTCAATCCAGCAGCCCACCATGGACTTTCCACACCAGGGATGTGATTTACTCACATGCTTGCTTATGCAAGCCAGAGTAGCAGAGAGACAGGAGGGATGCTGCTAGAGCATGTTAGATCCATCAGAACTGGAAAAGAGTTGAAATTACTCTCTACCATTCTGAGGGGCTCCAGTCACCTGCCCAGCCTCCTCCCAGCAAGGCACCTCTGTTTGTACCAGCAAAGACTGGATGTAGCAGTGTATGAAGACCGTTTCCACCACCTGACTAAGCTTATAGTCTAGTCTTGATAGGGAGACTCAGTAAGGTGAACTAAAACTTGCCTACTTTATTCTGGAAGGAAACTAAATGTATAAAGTAGGGGTACCTGGCTCTGCTATGCAAACAGTCAGAAGGAGATACTGAACAGGCAAGTTTAGGAAGTTGCTGATACGTACAACCAACAGAAGCAAAAGAAACTATGTTAGTCCAATGCTCTGATTTAATTTTTATATGAGCCAAAGTAGCAGTAGATGTATCTGTGGTCAAATGACTTTTTTAAAATTATGGTTTCTCGTTATGCTCAGTATCTGTTGGAAGCAAAAGCGGAAATAAATCAAAGCAGTGATAAAGACAAGGGGTTTTAGCAAGTCTGATACTGTCTCTCTTGCAATAATATATGAATGCTGTCTGTATATCCTAATATGATAGGGAGCCATATAGAATAAAAATCTTCTGGTTTGGTATCTTTTGGACGGTTTTGCACATCTTTTAAATGATGAAGCACAAACCCATCTTTTTAAAAATTGAACTCTATTAAATTGGGAGGAAGATGCTACAGATCAAATGAAGCAAATGGAGAAAGGACAGCAAAGTGTTCATATTGGTTTGGGCTTTCTGATCACAGGCAAACAAAAGCATCTAACAAAAACCCTTTACAATTTTGTCAGAATGGCAGAAAAAGTTCATGGGTGTGCTGAAAAGGCCAGTCCCCAAAAGAATGTCCTGCAGCAGATAGAGGATGTAAAGGTTAAAAGTCTGCATGTGCAGACACTGTAAAAGGACTGTGTTTAATGCCATTGTAAAATGGAAAGAGCAATCACTGGCACAGGCTACAAGTCCGTACTGGGCAACTCTGTCATTGGTGGACATCATAGGGTAGGAGAGAGGTAAAATCAATGTTTCAAATATGTTTGAAGATATGCTAAAAACTAATCCACCACACACACACTCCTTGGGTCACTGACACTGACATGTAACAAAGATGATGAATGTCATGCTTGGGAAGGCAGCCTACCTCATCACTGCAACAGCAGCACCTTCACCAGTGCTCTGGACCGAAGGGTTGAAATGCCTTGAAAACAGTGGAATGAATAAAAGTCTAATATTCTTCCAAACTATTGCATAATGATAATTGCTTGCACAGACAATCCGAACAAGAGAAGAACAACCATGATGTAGGAAGATGGAACAATGGAAAAGACAAATCACTTAAGATGTTCTTCCATGAATCATACAGATTATTTTATATCCAGTGACCATTTTGGATGCCCTTGTATTGAAGGTAGTCTTTGTTCTCACAGGGAATGTAGTTAAAAGAGATCCAGATGCAAGTTTTTGTTGCATGGATGTAGAGAACAACCTTCCCAGTCCTTCAGTTTATGTGCTTGATAAAGGAATGTTTAAGGGAAGACTCAGTGTCAGCAATACATCTCAGAAAGTCTTAGGTGGACTGGGATTTATCCTTATCATGTTTCATCGTGTTCCTAGTTAGCAGCCCAGTTTTTTAATGTGTATTAAGATATCCAGCTCCAGGTTGCCAGGGTAGCCTGGGAAGAAGTAACTCATCTTACAGTCCCTTCTTGGAAAGAGTGGCTTTAGCCTGGTAAGGCTGCTTGTTGTTTACCTCTTATTTGCAGCTGGATCATGAGGAAAACATCTACAAACGGATGGTTGGTGTGCCACATGTTTATCCTCCATCTCAGCCCAGTTTTAACACAGATGAACTAGCAGCGGCCCAGTCTCACCATGGAGTCATGGTTGGAAGGAACTAAACCACCACAGTTTCCTGTTCCTTTTTTGCCCCAGGGCAGGAGACTGCACAAAGGCTGTGACCAAGGAGACAGAGGTGGTTTCCACCATGGATGGAAGCTTTTAGCTATGTATCTTTGTACCACGTACCCCTCCTTGTGCATGGGGGTAAGACCCTGTGCAGAAAGGACTTACAGAGCAAACATACACTATCTTGAAAGTGGAACACATTTTCCCGTAAGAAAAAGTGAATCAATAACATGAACCTAGGGGTGAATTTTGCATTTGAAGAAGTCACCAGTCTCATTCAGTCAAAGTCAGAAGGCCAGGCTGGCCCAATTGCAGAGCTTAAATCAGCCATGTAATAAAGCTTTTGAAAAGCAGGGAAACCACAATGATTCTTTCTGTATATTCTGTGTATTTGTAGAATTATATGATAGATATTCTATGTACAATACTCCTAGCAATCACCTAGTGGTAATTGCTATAGGGCTTGATGTTTCATATGTGCATATAAACACATACTGCATCTGTCCAAGCTCCTGTGCAAGACATTGCAGTTACTAAAGTGCTTAGTGTACTCCACAGTTACAGCTAAAATGTATGGACGCTGTGTATTGTATACAGCATATCTTACAGCAGTAAAAGGAGGAAAAAGTATTTTACAAAAAGAATGGCAGTGATTTCAATATTAATAATATTTGTGAAACAGTGGATTATCAGGTGATGTAAGAATTATATTTGCATTTCGGAGATGCACATAATTTTAACCATGCCTGAATAGTAAATTAGTTCACAAATGAACATATCTATCTATATTAATGAGTGGAAAATAACCAATAAAAATCACATTAAATCTTTCATGTGATAGATGTTACCTGAGAAGATCACTTGTGCTGTAAATTCTCATTATAAAAAAAAAGAGACGACTTCTCAAGAGAGATTATACTCCTGGTATTTCACAGGAAAGTGCCTGACAAATAAATTGGACTACAGGGAATAGAACATGTTTGATTAATGAAAACGGACTCCTATAGCTGCTGCTGTGCAGTAATTCAGATGATAAAAAAATTCTGTCATAGGACAATAGCAGTGGAAGATCGTTGCCACGCAGATTGTTTTGAAGACATGAACTGGTAGCCTTTCAATTGGTCTATGAAAAGATTACACTTGATCAGGTTTCAGTGTGTTGCACAGCCCTTTTTAGTTTGTTATTATACCCCTTTCATGTTTACATGCCTGTCAACATTTAAAAAATAAAAAAAGAGCATACTTGACTAGAAAAAGCGAGTCAGGTCCTTTAATTTCACTTAATCATATTACTTGCCCTGAGAAATACAGTAATAACCTAAGTAATATTTACCATATCTGTTATTATTTTACATTTTGTTTAAAGGTGAAAGCAGGT